TCATTATAGTCAGGGAGAGAGGGAGAGATAGACCCATAATTGCTGGAAGCCAGTGGAGGGAGGGCTTCTCCGATTTGACCCCCTCGAAGGTCGTCATTAGTCTTGTACTGAAGCCAGACATTAAATGCCCATCGAAAATTGCCAGCTATTTGTGTTAATCTCGTTCTATGGAATCGCAGCCACAGAGACTAATGGCAACCGAAGAGGAAACAACAAGGTTGGCTTGTGGCCAGCTAATTTATTTAATTAAAAAATGTTTTACTTTGTTCTGTTCCAGTCGTATTTTTTTTATTTCTGTGTGGTCGTTGGATTTATTGGAGGTTACAAGGGAGATTATAGTAAATTAAGGGAGATGTAAGCCGATAAGTAGGAAATAAAAAAAGGATATAAAAAATGTATATTAAAAATAAGTAAAAAAAAAACTTTTTAATGAGATATTTATGATTTTAAAATTTTTTCTAGGTATTTATTTAAAGCAGACTTTGTAATTTTATTCCCCCCTTTAACTGTCTTTTTTTTTAATTGTTTTAATCTCTTTTTATTTACATAAATCGTATAAATTAAGGACAAGCTCAAAATAAATACCTTGCTAGGGGGATTTTTTGCCGGAAAATAGAGAAAAACTATACAAACAAGAAATGTATATTAAGTTCATTAATATTTTACAACCCTTTGGAGTTTTTATTTAAAATTTATTTAGTATTTGGATTGCCGCTCTTAGATCTTGTTTATTTTTATTATTTTAACACCTAAATAATTTTAAAAAAATTTTAAATTTCAAAAAATCCCACGTTAATCACAAAATTCAAAGCTCTATAAGCGATAGTCAAGTTTAAACGATAAAAACACTCAGCCAGAGCTGTGTAAATAACAAAAACTCTGTCTAAATAAGAGCCATTGGATCATTCAAACAAAAGTTGGCCATCTAGTTCGGTTAAAATCCCTAAATTGCATAAGGGGGATAGATATGGATATAGATGAAACACCCACCCGCTGGGTGCATTTCATCCACTATCCACAATCCAATCCCCAATCCGCAGCTCCCTTTCCACAGCCGCAAGAAACTTTCAATTGCCAACTCGGGGAAAAGTTTAAAAGCGGCACGCGGAAATTTTCTATTTTCTTTTTGTTTTTTTCAGTTTTTGTTGTATTTTTTCTGTTTTTTTTTTATGGCAAAACATCAACAACTAACTGCTAAACTGTAAAGTACCGCCAACCACCCTGTGACCTCGGCACCTCGCGCTCAACGGCAGCCATTAAATGAAACTTAATTAGCCCTAAATAAGCAACAGAGCCAATGAGTAAAATGTGGCTAAAATGGGTTGGGCTTCTGGGTGGGCCTCTTGGTGTGGGTTGCATTTTAATGCACAAACTGAAAAATCATTGATTACTTTTTGGCGAGGGTTTGTTTTTGGCGGGGCGGTGCGGTTGGGGGAGGATATGAGGGAGGTTTGGGAGAACTAAAAGAAAAACGTTTTGTGCATTTTACGCGATAAGTTGATTAAATTGCATAAAAGTGGGCCGAATGGATCGAAAGCCAGAGTGGGCTATAAGCTGGTTACACTGAGGGCTAAAGGCACGAGTCGGGATTTTAAAAACTGATTTATTTTTAAGGAAAAACACAGTCTGGAGAAGTCGAAAGATTATTTCTAGTACGCAAAAATCAAAGAAAATATATAAATATATATATATATTATTGAACTTAATTACAACGCAACATTTTTATTTGATTTGAAGATTATATGATTTAATAATACTCTTAATTGGCCATATTTTAACAAAATAATTAAGGAATATCATAAATTTGCAATTTGTACAATACTCAAATAACATTATTAAATGAAAAATCAAATGTTTTAATTAGTTTATTTAATTATTTTTATTTTAATTTAATATCCTGATATTTTCCACATAAAAATACTTATTTTTCAGTGCTCTCACTGGGTTAAGTTGGCTCTATAAAGTGGGCATCATAAAACGCATTAGCCAGCGGTTGAGTGGGCGGCCCGAACTCTCTCCAGATTGAGATTGAGTGCCGCTAATTTGAATCCGTAATTTCCTTGGGAGGCCATCATGCACCACACCCACGATACCCATCCTTAGAGTGGGTGTTCTCCACCCACTCTTCACAATATTTACCCAGTGGGTGCGACCGTAAACCGGCTTAGAACATGGCTGCAATTTTGTTGCAACTTGCAGCGGACGTAGCATTCCAGTTTACGGCCGTATTATATGCTCCTTGCCGCCTGGCCTCAGCCTTTTTTGCATCTACTTGTAGTTCATCGAGTGTTTTGAAGGGATGGAGGAAAATTGCAAGGGGGCAAAGGAAGACCTTCCATTCCTACTCCCCCTCCAACGATTTTCCGGAGAAAAAGTTGCAACTTTTACGAGCCGTAACGGTCGAACGGGCAGGCAAGTACAGTTACACCCGGTGGAACAGAACAACACACCCGACTGGTTAGCTGTTAACAAACTAGCTTGGCTCTAGATATAGAAAGATATAGTGGTACAGTGAACAGTTTTATTCAGCACCCCTAGTCGCGAACTTAAGCAGTCCGCGGGGATTTTCCAACCGCTGTGGGTGGGCGCTTTCCATCCTCAACCTTAAAACCATTTCCCCCCGCCTCGCATTGCAAATGTAGTTCAAAGTCGTGCAACATCGTAAATCCATCGTTGAACTATAAAAAACCGTCTTACTGCAATTTGTATCTCTTTTGCTGAGGCGGGTTTGGGCCAAAGGTTTCGGTGGGGTTTTTTGCAAATACCGCGGTTTAGTAGGGGTACAAGGGGTATACGGTTTAGGGATATTTATAGATAAGAATGGTTTAAGTTTGTTATGTTTACAGAAATAAAACTAATTTTTAAAATAAAATTTGTATTGATTCCTTTGAAAAAAGTATAGTTTTTCCGAGATATTTGAAAGAATAAAATTAAATACAAAACGAAATATCGTATGACTTATTTTTCTAGCTTAAAACACAATTTTACCTCTGATAATTTTTTTTATATAATAAAAAACTACTAGGTATCTCCTAGTCTCCAGTTTTTTGACAAAACTTTGTTTTTTGTTAGGGTTTTTGTTTTTTTTACTACTGTTTCTGGGGTTCTGGCAGCCGCTTTTGGCTTTGGCTTTGGTCTTTTGCTCGGTTGCTCAACCCGTGAGCACTTTTTAATCCGATTTTGTTGCATTTTTTACCATGCTGAGTGTGTGCCTGTGTGTGTGTTGCTTGGCGATTACGCCTGCCTTGTCTTCTTCTTCTGTACTACTGGTAATGCTTCTTCTGCTTCTTCTGGCTTTTCCACCTACTTTTACCCTTTTTTTATTTATTTTTTTGTGTTTTTTTGATTATTTTAGTTGCACACGCCCTGGCCAAGAGCGAGAGAGTCACCCTCATCACCCTGAGACGACGGCCCTAACGATTTTGCATTTTTTATTTAATATATGCGGTGTTTCCCTACGCTTTTCACTCTCCTCCCTTTCCATCACTTTGATGTTGCGGCCCCTGCTTAGCCTTGGTTGACTATTTAAAGCCGTAAAACCCTTAACCGTGGCTTAGCCACATGGGCCATAAGTTCAACCGGAATGAGAGTGCACAGAGAAAAAAGGTTCATCGAACTTGACACGCTTTTTCGAAATGGGGGGAACATACCAGGGAAAATGTGGTGTGAAACTAACACAAAGGGGGTGTTAATTTATAGAAAACTTGTGTTAAACTGACTTTAACTTTATTTTTTAATAACTTGGGACAAAAATATGTATTTGTAGGATTTAATATAATTTTTAGAGAGTCTACATGAGAGAAAATTAAGGTTTAGAACTAGTTTTTAGATAAATAAAAGTTAAGACTGTTATAAATAATTCATAAAGTTATTCTTTAACAAAAGAAAACCACGAAAAAATTAATAACAGCAATTGTTTTTTAATTAAAAATTAGTAATACAATTATTTTGTATAAAATATTACGAACCCTTTCCTGCAAATTCCTTTAAATTCAAAAAATCACTTGAAAGTTACCCTATTTTCTTTTAGTGTGTTTAGTAGTACACCCTCACTTGACATTTTTATATTTTCCTAAATTTTTTTGTGATTGTTTCACTGGTTTATGTGCCCAGGCAGAGATCCCTCATTTGGGCAATGCCAACAATGGACAGAATACCTGATTCGTTTGATAATCCTTTCGCCTGAAAGTGCTTATGTACACAGGCCAGATTGCCTCCAAAAGTTGGCCCCAAGTTGGAGGAGGCTAGATGAAGGACTCCAAGTCCGAGTCAGAATCAGTGCCAGGACCAGGATCCCTAAAACCAAGTCCGAGTCCGAGCCGGGCTGCAATCCTGCCTCGGGCTCTTATTTTGCCCCGTTGCCTTGGCATTCGGTTTGTCTCTGTGTGTTTTGGCCTATTTGCATTATGAATTATTTATTTTGTTTATTTCTTCTTCGCCACGAAAACACAGATACAGGCAAAGGCATAGCCAGCGGAGGGAGGTTTGGGAGGTGAAGAGAAAGGGGCGTAAGCAAACCAAACCCGGAAAATGTTGCAAAAGTGGAATACTTGACGTCGTCTCAGTGATAAACGTGGGCGGCAAAATAGAAACAAAAATAGGAGGGGCACAAGCAAAAAGATAGAAAAAAAAAAAACAAAATAAAGCTCACGAAATACGCGAAAAGTGTTTGCTCGGATTAAATTTATGAATATTATATTCAAGCAAAAGTTCTGCCATCCAAAAAGCCCGACCGACAGACCCACTGCAATAGCACAAGTTTGTCTATAAATTTTTTTCCGCCTCCTCCTCTCTCTCTCTACAGACTGTCTGGAATTTACGAGCCCCCAAAAAAAAGGAGGTAAATTGCCAGCTATTGCAGCCCGCTTAAGGGTATCATTTTGGTCAAGTTGTTTATTTTGATGGCGGCGGCGGCCCCGTAAAATGATATATCGACTGTTCTATATCACGATTCGGGGAGGGTTTATACAATGTTAATGAGTTTCGTTTCTCACACTCACTGGGCTCGTAAAGTATGCGACTGCTTAATCCTTTCAGCTCCAAATTTGCCTCCAAATTCATGCAAATCATTCGTTACAATCGAGGGAAATCTGCAAAGAGGAAAACATTTAAATAATTATATAAATAAATATAACAAAATATATTTATAGATATAAAGATTATATTGATTTATGGACAATGATTCAAAATATATTCGATTAAATATTAATTGTATTTTGGCTATGGAATTTTTATACCCTTGCAGGGTATTATAATTTCAGTCAGAAGTTTGCAACGCAGTGAAGGAGACGTTTCCGACCCTATAAAGTATATATATTCTTGATCATCATCAACAGCCGAGTCGATCTAGCCATGTCCGTCTGTCCGTCTGTCCATCTGTCCGTCTGTCCGTCTGTCTGTTTCTACGCAAACTAGTCCCTCAGTTTTAAAGCTATCTGAATGAAACTTTGCATATAGTCTTCTATATGCTCTCACTGCTATATATGTCGGAACGGGCCGGATCGGACGACTATATCATATAGCTGCCATACAAATGTTCGATAAATTTTTAGAAAAAAAATTGTAACTTAGCTGTTTTTCAACATATGTGCACTATTTTTTACATATGACCATTTTATATTATTTTTGAATTTTGGTAAAAATTTTATGAAAATCGGACGACTATATCATATAGCTGCCATAGGAACGATCAGGAAATTAATAGAAAAAAATTATAACTTCGTTGTTTTTCAAACTATTTTTATCTACTCTGAGATATAAGCTTATTTTATAAGTTCAGAATTTTTGTAAAAATTTTATGAAAATCGGACAACTATATCATATAGCTGCCATATAAACCGATCGGTAGGTATAGGGAAAATGTAAAACTGGGAATGTAAAACTGTAACTGTCAAACTCTCAACATAATAAGTATAGGTAAAATGCAATAAAATAATATCTGCAAGGGTATACAAACTTCGGCGTGCCGAAGTTAGCTTCCTTTCTTGTTTTTTTTAGATTTTAAGTCACAAAAACTAAATCTGTATCAAATTGATAGAAATTTCATGTCCACATGTTGCAGCATTTTACTGATAAATTTCACTTAAAAATTCTAATTAAAATTATAGTTTTATGCCACTTTAACAAGATAATAAAATAACCATAAATAAATACATCATTTCCAGTAGCTTCTACATTTTATTTAATTTTAATTACCTTTCTTTAAGTAAAACAAAATCCCACCGATTTCTTTAACGAACCAATTCCCTTAAGTGAATACTATTAAATCTAGCCCAGGCAAGTCAAGACTTTCATTCATTTAACTTGGCTAAAGAAAAGCCAAGGAGCAGAAGGACTCTTAGAGCCGAAAAATGTTGACTGCCTTTTGTTCATAAAGGAAATTAACTCTTTTCATGTCCCAATTTGCATTAAAAATGTTATAAATTCGCCGGTAAACGTTCCAAAGGCAACTAAGCGCATATAAATCTACCCTGCCGACGGACGACCCTTCGAACCTGCTCCTAGAGCCTGCTCCAGATCCTGACGCCGCCAGGTGAAGTAGTAAGTGATTGTAGCTCCTTTTGCGAAATGGAGGCGCTGAAGCGAAAGGTGTGCCGGCGGAGGAAGGACTGGTGGGCTTGGATAGATGGGGGGCTGGGCTGGGCATAAGAGCGATGAATTTGGAATGAATGCAATCTTGCTAAAATATGCAAGGAACGCTCCACACACAGACACACCCCTCACACACACACACAGAGGCACACACACACATTCGCAGACATTAAACATTGAAGCGACAAACGAAATGAAAAACGGCTGTGCAAATTAATTTTACGTTGTACGAACAACAACAACTATGGCAACAGTAACAAGAACAACAGAAAGTAACTGCGTTTGTGACAGCACTGGGAGAAAAAGTAGGGAGTATTACTATTAACTAATTTCAAGGTAAATTATTTTAAGGGAAATTTTAGTGCAAACAACTGGAGTTTATAATATTTTGTACATTTCTTTATTATCTCACGTCTTAAAAATCTTATAAAAATATTTTCCAACCTATTCAACTTTACATTTTCAATACAAACTGTTTTCAGTGCTTTAGCGGAACCTCCCAGCGAGGACGATGAATAGCAAACAACAACAAGAACTATGCAGGGCACGCCCATAACTCCAACATCTACATGAGAATGGGCCTCAGTATTGGAGTGAGTAAAGGAGCAACAGGGAAGCGGAAAGGGTGCAGACCAAGGATAAGGATGACTTCCAAACAGCTAGACAAACATTTAAAGGATTGCCAGCAGGATGCCGCCCGCCCATCCACACTTTATTTCGCTTTAATTACCAAGCTCTTAGTCTGCTGTTGCCGTGGTGGCAGGCTAAAAAATTCTGTGGGAGAAAATTGGGGGTGAGATTGTTGAAAAGGTAGCACGGCGGCTTCCGGTGTGCGATATCAAAATTTCTAGGAACAACATCTGTCTGTATGTGTGTATTTTTGGAGCTCTAAATAATTCAATATTATAAGGTGTTATGATAATTACTAATGTGGTGGAAAACAGGATGAAAAGCTATTTCATTTTGTGGGAAATTATGATAGGGTAATAAAGTTTATAGTTGAGATAATTAAAAAAAGCAAACTTAGAGCTAAAATGTATTGTTAATTAAACAATTCAGACACTTTAGATTAATATTCATTAATTTGAAATAGGTAAAGGCTTATAAGAGTTCTGAACATTTTTAAACTATATAAAAGCGATCATTTTATTATTAAGAAGAGTTAACATAAACATTTCAGGACATTATTCCCTAGAATTTAAGGATTTTCTAAACCAATATTTATGCTTTCCTCCTCCAGAAAACTAATTAATGCAAGCAAAGAAATCGAAGGTTCCATCGATAAATAAACACAGCACCGCCTGAGTCAGCTTTTCTACCAGCCAGAGATCCACAAATTACATTAAAACCCTATTAGACCCCAACGGAACCGAGGCGACCGGCGGAGTAGAAAACAGGAATAAACAACAGGAGGTCAGCTGTGCGGAGACGTAGTAGCTCTCCTTCTCCAACAGTTTTTCCCCCAGACTCGCTTAGCGGAAAACTATTTTACAATTAAGCATTTAAAGCCATGGTTAAAACATTGTCTCGGCGAGTGGCTCGTACTGCAACGTAAGGCCAGCAGTTAGCAGGTAGCAGTTACCTTTTTATTTAACCCATTACTCTGGCTGCAGGTAAATAAAGCCAGCACTAAAATGTTGCCCAACGACTCCGGCTCCGGCTGCTGCCTCCGCAAAAGCCACCCAAAGTTGGGGGTAAAAACGACGCCAGTCTGCGCCAATAAATAAATTCGCAAACACCCCAAAACAAACAGCGGCAGTGGAAAGTGGATAGCAACTTTGACTTTAACCACACTGCACCAAGTTATCCCATCTATTTTTTCTGGCTCCTTTGGGTTGACATTTTTTTTTTTTTAGTATTTTTCGCCTTCGTCCAGGATGTGGCGTGTTGGCAATATGCATATGGTAAGTCCTTAAGTCGAAAGTTTTTTTTTTTGAAGGAGCGAAAGAGGAGTTTGGGGAAGCTTTTATTTGATTAAATGTTCTTTACCTTAAAAGCTGGAAAAAATAGTTTTTGGAAGGTTTATCTTGGCAAGATAAAGATACAGGGTTTCAATTACACATAGGTGGGCTAATGGAATTGGAATAGGTGATGGAATGTTAAGCATTAACCAAGTAGTTTATAGGGGTTACAAGAGGGAAATATGTCAGTACTCAACTGAGTATCTGTTTAAATTTGACAACAATCTCCTTTATTTTACTATTAGTAAGTAAACTTATCAGTTTTCTCTAGAAAATCTTAAGATAATCAAAGAAAACCTCCTAAAGATGCTAATCTCCACTAGAAACCCCTGAAATCTCAACAATCCCAATGAACCATAAGTTTTCCAAACTGTTTTCAAGTATCCCCGAATTTTCAATTTAAGTTATGTAAGCACTGGGTGATGGCACAGCATCAGCAGCAGCAGCAGCACCAAACCAACCAAGTTTTCAATTAACCCTTCGAACTCTTGGCTGATTGAATTCCAAGCTTCAGTCGGGTTTCTTTTTTTTTCGGGCTTGGGTTTAGTTTTGGGGGGCGGCGGGAGAGAGACTTGAACTTGGCAGACAACCATCGTTTCGTATCCTTAAACTTCACTTTTATGCAGACATACGGGTAGTTAAGTCGCACACTGAAGGAGAGAGATTATTTCCGCACTTTTTATCTTGGTGCGTTCAGGGTGAGCACTTGGCGCTTAAAAAGTCAACGGAGCAAACTAGCATCGAAGGCAGCCTGCCAATTTGTGACTGTCTTTTGCTAACCCCCAACGACCCGACCCATGCGTACATATAGCATATATAGCATACATATATATCCCCCGATTCCTCATTTTGGTCCTGGCAAAGCGCGACGGTGCAAAGCTGACAGCTGCTTAAATAATTTCCAGTCATAATAATAATATTCAGTCATGTGCGCCGCCCACAAAACACAACTAAACCGAACGTACAGCTCAACAAAAAAAAAAAAAAAATTAGGGGAAAATAGAATGGAAAACGGGGGAAATAAAGGAAAACCCACAACTACCAGGACCGGCGAATAAGAAAAAAAAAGAATTTGCCGTCGTCTTATGCCTTTTTTCTTTGCTTCCCCGAACATCCGTACATCCGCACATCCGGACGGGGCGGAGTTCCCTTGTCCTTTAAGTCGACTTTACGTCGTCGGCGTCTGTGTATCAATATGCGGGGTCAGTACTTGGTCTTGGATACCCTCACTTGGGGTAAGCTTAGCCCCGGAAGTGGTCGCTCCAAGGGAAGTACTGGATGACGAACTTTTTTTTGGTTGAAAGAAGGATTTTATTTAGGGAAAAGAAGTTCATTAGTCATAACTTGGGAAGTTTTGAAAACATATTTAGATGTTAGAGAGATGTGTGAATTTAAAATAAAATTATTCAACATTTTTTGATTATATATATAGTACAAAATAGCCAATTTTTGTTGTATTTATTGATTTTATAGGGTGGTAAAAGTCCCAGCTAAAATTGCTAAAAGATCTGAGGGTTCAAAAAGGATCTGCTTAGGCA